CCCAAGACTCCTTTCTAATACGTCTACTTTATAGCGAACGGTCGGAACAGAATCCGTTCACGACCATGGTCCCTTCTTAGATTTAACGTAGTTCACAGATTCACCGTTCTCATAACGTAGAGGGCAGTAGAAAATCCCTGACTTTTTACACTATCGGTATTTCAGAACATGACACACAAAGTCCCATAAGATGATAGGTCTATCCTATACCTAGTCGGTGCTACTATAAAACCCCAAAATTCTCGATTTTGCAATTTCCCGCGCTTCTTGAGCTTCCAATTTCGCGCGAAATTTAACTTTATTCTTAATGCGATTTTAACTAATTTTAGCAATTATTATTTATTTATTCATGGAAAATATGGTATACAGGTAATGATAGGCTTACTAATCAACGCATACGGACCATTTATGTAATTGTTTTCTATTGAAAAAATCGTACGAAAATGTAAAATTTACAATAGTATTTGTATAAATTCAGTAAAAGTATGCTTAAATACAGTAACTAATATTTGAATAAAAACAGTAAAATTAGGCTTAAATACTAAATGTAATTTAAGTTTATTTAAATAATACAGAATATAAAAATAGGATAAAATGGAATACAGAATGAAAAATTCTACATTATATGTATATTCTTAAACTAGATGGCAGTCGATTTTGAAATAAATGTAAAACGTTATAAATTTAAAAGATCTAATTATAACTTCAAAAAAATAATAATATTCAATTTATAAATTCGCGTAACAGAGGAAAAGCGTATAAAATTTCAAAAATCATAAGAGTTAAAGGCATGTAAAGATTGTACATAAACATTTTGCAGTAAGAGAAGAAGAATTTTTAGCAATCATCGTCAGATGTCACAACGTACCTGTGCTAAACGTGGCTAAACGTGCTTTTTAAATAAAGTAAAAAATTTGCTCAGTCCAGCGTACAGCGTAGAGCTCAGTCATTTGAAAACTTTGGAGAGCGTAACAAATCGTAGAAATGTCGAAGAACAACAAAGGGCAGACCGCGTTTTATTTCTTCATGCTCGATTGGAAAAAACAACAGGAGAAATTTGGAAAAAGTTTTCCGGAAGGTCTACGCGATGTTCAAAAGGATCCACAATTGAGCATAGATTGGAAGGTCAGAAATCTATTTTTTTGTACTCAAGTTATATGCTTGTAAGCAGTTTGATTAAACAAATGTTTATTTCACTAGAAACGTTGAAACAATAGAATAATGTTATTTTCCATTTAAATATCGTTAGTATGTTGATACTGCTCATGATGCCAAGTTATCATGAAAAAATGTTAGTATTATCATTCCAGAGGGGAATCAATGTTTTCATAACAAATGGTCCAGAAGAATTTTCAAGGTTACATACATATCATGAAGAATATCTTGTACAATGTATATTTCGGTTTATATATACACATATTGATACAAAATAGTAATTAATTAATTTTTTGATGTTTTACTGCATTCACAGTAACAAAGAAAACATAGAGAGAAATTGTTTCACATTCAGAATGGAATTACTCAGAAATTTTGTAATCAAAACTAAAGCCATTAATAGAAGTTGAAAAGAATTCGATTTCATAAACAGACATTATTAATTTCAGAATATGTTACCAGAACAAAAAGATTATTATGAGTCTAAAGCGAAGAACATCAAAGTTGAAGAACAACTAACTAAAAAAATAAACAGAAAAACAACTTTGGGAGAAATTGTAGACGAAATTCTTGCAGCTGAGAAAAAAGAGCAAGAGTTCCAGGAAAATATGTTGCAATACATAAATTCCATAATTGCGATAGGTATCCATCACCATTGTAAGTAACATTGTATTCGCTATGAAACTAATTTGTAAATATAAAAAAAAAAAGAAGAAACTCAAAGAGACTTAGTCATAATCCTTCTTCATTCCTTTCTTTCATAAAGATTTATTTATCAGAAGAACATAGAACAATGGAACAATAATACTACTGTTTATTACAGCCTTGGATCAGATGAAGTTCATGCTGGTACATGCAAACTGGTTTTACAGAAGAGAAGTAGGAATCAATCAATATGACTTCTGTCCTGCCGAGTTCGCTTTGGCAGAATTTAGCTTTGAAAGGGGCGTTGAGAATGTGTATCATGAAGTTGTCAGTGCCAAGATACCATTGGGGTGGAAGAGGGATGCGTTGGAAACTAGTCGAGAAACTCATAAAATACCTATTGAACATCCAGATGGACAGAGCGACTTTGCGTTCATGTACACACAGTTTGTAAAAGTTTTAGAATCCAACATGACTGGAGATAAGTATCCTCCTTTATTTACCACAGAAGATTTGGTACCAGCTATAGAATCATTGTTGAGGAGAATGTGTCAGGCTGCTGGCAAGTATAAAAAATAATAAATTATTATAAAATGATATTGAAATTATCGGTTTTGCTCAGTTGAAGGCAATGGAAAAGTTTCATTTCAGGCAAGAGTATGAACGATTTCACGATATATTCTCTGGAACAGCTGTTTACAGCACTGTTAAATGCTGCCACAAAAGACACGACGAAGAATTGCAGCATTCCTTTCGTAGTTGCCAAACATGAATTTGGAAAAGACACATTTTGTTCTGCAACTGGGCTTGAGTGTGATGTAAGTGTAGGAAATTTGTTGTCTTTAACAAGTTCACTGCCACGTCTACTTCGGCTGACTTTCCGTTTGCACTAATTGTATTATCTGACATTTCATTTTGTATTATATGACAGTTACCGAAAACCAATGTGACGGTGAATGTGTTGAAAGGTTCATCAATACGTACTGGAGTAACTAATTAATTTTTTTCTTTTCCTTTCAAGTTCCACAGGATTTTAGATTCATCTCAGCACTGTAGTATGTCCATAGTAAAAAGATGGGGCTTCACGATATGCGATCACTGTTGCTGTTATTTGGACATACCAAGGATTGAAGGTGTCCACTACCCCCTGAGTAGACCATACTTCAATTCTCCTAATTCAGGCTCCTTTGATATTCACATTAGCAATCTCAGTATTAATGATTACAGTAAAGGAGAGAGGCATCTCAATGAGTGGTGTAAGTAACGTAACACGTTACATGTATTCAACGTTTGTGAAACTAATTTGATAACAATTAAAATTTATATATTTTTTGTTTTTTTTTTAATGAAAATTTGTTTAATGGATCGATGAGATTTTCCTGATAAAAACGAGTCCAAACACGGTACAAATTCGACTCCTTTTCACGTATAAAAATTGTCCGACTGAGATTGTGTCTTGATTCATTTTTATAAGGAAGGTCTTGTCAGTCCGTTACAAATAATCCCAGTGACGTAATATAAAAACTATAGAAATTTTATTTTTCATGTACTAGTTCAGTAACTTTGTTGCCCGTAGTCGACGAACGACGAAAAATAAGCTAACCTAGCAGCCAAGTCGTAGGTTAGGACTCGTATGGACTCCTAGCACAAACGATGTATAGAAGAAGATATTTCATACGATGTATTTTTTCGGCCCATTTTTTTGGGACGACGTCGCCCAATTTTCATTTTAGTGTCACTACCCACCGCAGATTCACCGTTCTCGTAACGTAGAGACCGAAGAATAGTTGGTGCGGAATATTAGTATTTCTTAACAAGTTTTATCTTAAAAAATTGCTTTCATCGCAAATATTATATTTAATAAGATATTCGCAAATAAAAAATCAGAAATTTGTTATCTGCAAAATAGATAGTAAATGGTCTTTTAGAAAAATATGGTACCAAAAAATTGCTCCTGATCTGTTTTATAATATTCAATGCTCAGATATCTTAATAACAACTTAGCAATTGAAATAATGTTGTTGCATACATGATAGGTAGGCTATGACGAAAATGTAGCGTTTTATATATTAAAATATTTATTTGTTGCACGTAATCAGTATGCTGTACAGTAATACATTTATATAATCTTTGTATGTATAAGAGAAAATAATTTTTTCGGAAACAAGAAATTATTAAATACGGAAACATAATGGCTTACCAAGTAAATGTATGTAACAGAAAATTAAAAAGCAACATACTCAAAATACAGGGTGAATATTGACATTATTTGTAATTATATGAAAAAATTTTACATACAAAACTTCCGCGGTATAGAGGGGGGCATATTTTGACACAAACATTTTCTGCGTGGGTGAAGGCATAGAGAAGATTTCAAGGTCATCTCTATTTTTTTGAATGGAATGCTATGTTTTTTTTATCGCGATGTGATAACCGGTGTTGAGACGACTTCAGCGATCTATCATTGAAGGTCATGCAAGGCATAAATGTGGTAGTAAAAGAAACTTTCTTACATTACTGGCGAACGATATGCACACTTTATACGAAGTAAATTGGGGACTGTATTAGAAAGTGTACCACTAAACGTTCGCTTAATGATGTGGTTACAGCACGACGGGTGTCCGGCACATTATGCTCGGAGAGTAAGAGATGCACTGAACGAACTTTATCCAAATAAATGGATAGGACGTGGAAGATTAGTTTCTTGGCCACCTCGTTCTCCAGATACAACCCCATTAAATTTCTTTTTCTGGGGAGCATTGAAAAATACTGTTTATCAAGAAGTACCCACTACACCAGAAAATATGAAATAACGGATAATTGCAGCATGTGCTAGAATAAATTCAGAAACGATAAGACATGCGCGTAATGCAACGATACGAAGATTGCAACTTTGCATTGACGCAAACGGTCACCACTTCGAGCATCTCTTGTAATGTAAGAAAGTTTCTTTTACTACCACAGTTGACCTTGCATGACCTTCAATGATAGCTCGCTGAAGTCGTCTCAACACCGGCTATCACATCGCAATAAAAAAAACATAGCATTCCATTAAAAAAAATAGAGATGACCTTGAAATCTCCTCTATGTCTTCACCCACGCAGAAAATGTTTGTGTCGCAATATGCCCCTCTCTATACCGTGTAAGTTTTGTACATAATATTTTTTCATATTATTACAAATAACGGCAATATTCAAAGTGGACATAGTTATTGACCCACCCTGTATATCAATTTAATGTGTATGATACTTTTTAAAAGATACCAATTGAATGAGCAAGACCTGCATACATATGCAATGTTGTGGCACTCATTACAAAAGTAGTAATAGCTTTAACAATGAGTATCGCCCATGGGCCAGTTAGAAACAGTGTTGTTAGGAAATCCAGGATAAGTGACCTATAGACAGTGAGTATAAGCATACCAACAACTACAGGAACTAAACCACGCTTTAAATCGTGCCGCGACCACAGCCACACAAGTGTTGCTGTTGTTATGTGTTGTACCTAAATAACAAAAATATAAGTATATAAAGCAGAGTTTCACTTAATCTACAATATTCTATTGTTCAATGCTTACTAAATTAATATTAGATTCAAGACTCTTCTGAATGTATTTCCAATCAAACTCAGATCCCCTTGCACCAACCCACAACAAAAGAAATCTGGTAAGAATTACTTCAGCCCCTGCCCATCCAATTCCAGCAGTCAAAACTTTCGCATGTCCTTTACCAGGTATACTGTTAAGTACCAATAATATTCCTACTAAATCAGCTAAATCTATGGAAGACTTTAAAAATTCCTGAAAAAATGTATCATTCATTAAGGAGCCGTAATAATAATAAAGAGAAATTGCTATAAAAAATACATACACCAACTAAATCAAAGCCACTTTCTCCTATGTTGTCAGCTGTAGGAAAGAAGGTGGCTAGTGCTAACATTTTCACTAGCTGCGTAAAAATATATATCCCTCCAGCCTGAATACATTTCCAAAATGCTCCGTATTCAGATCTGAAAATGTTACAAACAATTACATTTATATTTTTGTATTCACATCTCAGTTAAAAATTTAATAGGAGGTACAATCGAAGTTACAGTTAGGTTAGAAATAAATCGATCATACTTACAATCCGGAATATTTATAGGTGAGATAATATGGTACGTAAACTAAAGCTAAACAATTTCCAAAATGGTACAGTGTCATTATTTTGCTAGTACTATGTCAATTTAATTTGTATATCATTTAGCACCCGCTAGCAGACAACTCATAATTACATCGGGTAAAATGGGTTGTTCACACCACTTCTAAATCTCGACAGTACCCTCACTAGCAAACTCGGCTTCCACTAGGGGAAAAAGTGGTGTAGACGAAAAGTCTTCTACCACTTGGTAAATTTATCCCAGTTGGTGAAATTAGTGTTAATTTGCCATAAATTTCAGTAATTCCAAATACCAACAGGTAGGAGGCCCTTCCTACGTCAACTGTTTCCCCTAGCGGAAGCCGAGTTTACTCGTGAGGGTACCCTCGTTTTTATTTTATCAAAGGTATAATTGCAGATTACGAGGGTATTTCGAATTTGCGCGCAATTTCATTGTGTATATTGCATTTGTAATTAAATGTATATTATATTAACATCGCATGACGATGGCTGGATCATTCGTTCAGTATGTTGCAGTATGCCTGAGTTGGCCTGAGTATGCCGCGATGTTTTGAGGAGATAGGATGTATTTAACAAATGAATCAAAATCAATTTTTATGGAAATGCAAATTTTATGATATCTTTTAGAAATTCTTATAAAAGAATGTGAAAGTTTTATATATTATGTATAGTGTCCAGTGTATATAGGTCACGTGTGACTCAGCCGTCGGCTTTCACGGTCCGTCATGCGAATATTAATGATACAATTCACACCACCTATTTAATTGATTCTGAAATATATGTCGCCGTTGTATTTTACTATTGGTTTAGTTTATGATTAATTAGTAAAATTAGGAAACTTACTTTATTTCATCAACCATAATTGTTTGGAGAATTTCCTCTTCAACCTTTTAAAAAAAAAAGAAAAACGTGCAAATACAATAAGCTTGTAAAAAGTACGAAAACTTGTCTTCTCACGCAGGACCAATGGGTAGTGCTGATACATAAAGTGAACTTGTATTAGTTTTACTCTACATATTTTTTACTCTAGCTTTTGAGAAAACAAAAAAAAATTTTTTTAAAATAGAAGGGATAGTGAGAAGTTTTTCATCTATAGGACAAACCAGACTGTTATCAAGAGAATTGAATTACTATACACAAAAATCACAATTTATGCATTCATTTTTACATAAACTTTCGGTTTTGAGAAAACTTTAATGCCTTCTTCTAATTTGTTTAGTTGCTTCTCTATTTCTGCTTTTCGTTGCTGTGCCCTAAGGGTATCTGATTTTATAGGCATCATGTTTAATTCATTTACATAATCTTGATAATCTGTAACATTATTAACATAAATGAATAAATAATATTACATGACAAAACTTAATGTTAGTCACTTTTCAACTGTATACTTTACTTTTTTTTAATATATACAGCGTTTCTTTGCGTTCATTTTCAGGTAAGGGAACATGACCATTTGGACAGTTAGGATCTAATGCTTCTTCTTTGGCTTTCTGCTCCTTTTTTTGAGCTTCTTTCCTTTCTTTAATATACCTGAAAGATAAATTTTTCTGGTTTAAAATAAAGGTAATAATAAATATTGTATGGACAAATGTAATATATAAATGTTTCTTTTAATATCGTACTTAGGAACAACACCCTTGCGATAATTGGTTGAAGGTGTGATTTTATTATAATTGTTACTATTGTTATTATTATTTAGCCGAGCAGCTGTTTTATTAATCATGGGTGTAGATTCTGTATTTAACTTAGTATCATCCAATTCCCCCTTAAGTGTAAGGAATTCAGAATTTTCTTCTGATTGATCTTGATTTGAAGAAGATGTTGTATCTCTTAAAACATTATCGTTTTGTTGAATAGTATCATTCTTACTTCTTGACTCATTGGTGTTTAAACAATTCTTTGAAGGATATCTATGGAAAAAGTTTCATCAGCATTAAATATTCTAAGTAAAAATCACTGTACACCGACAAGCAAACTTGGCTTCCGCTAGGGAAAAAAGGGGCGTAAAGAAAAGGCCTTTTACCATTTGAATTCGGAAGTTTCTGAAATTTATGCCAAATTACCATACATTTTAACACTTATTTCCACTTATTTCAGTACTTGAAATAAATTTACCAAGTGCTAGGAGGCCCTTCCCCTACGCCGCTTTTTCCCCTAGCGGAAGCCGAGTTTGCTCGCGAGGGTACATATACCTTATTATCCCTTCAGAATACAAATTGTCCATTTGGTTTGTATCTAACGTTTGTATACTTTGATTCTTGTATTTGATTTGCGTTTTTGTGTTTATCTCATTACTAGCATTTTCAGGTGATTCACGCAACAAAGCAGAGTCTGATGAGACATTTTCATGTAATCTGTCATCAGATTTATGTAAATTTTTAGAATTTTTCCTCTTTTGTTTCATTGATGAATTGTTACTATTTGCTGAATGTAATGTCTTTTTTGTTCTACTATTATTTTTGTTCATTACTGGCATACTAGACTTTCCACATAATTTTTGTTGGTTTTCTACACAGTTTTTACTTAGTTTATCACGTGCATTTAAATTTACATCAATCCCTACATATTTCTTTGGCCCAAGATTTGAATTTAGCTTGGGTAAAACATTTTGATATGGATTACTAATCTTTTTTCGCTCATGTAGCTGTACATTCTGTGCATCTCCTACTCCCTTATTCGCATGTAAACTTTTTTCCAGGTGACGAAGATTTTTTACATTTTCATGTATAAAATTTTTACGCCTTGCTGGTTCTAATAAAAACATAATCTTGCTCATTAAGGAAACTTTAAATTGAGTAACAAATCATATTTATTAAACTGTTCATGTTGTGAAAATTATAACATCAATTTAACAATTATGAAAGAATTTATAAGAGCAAGAATGTAGTAAATAAAACATATATTTTAGATATACAATATAATTATTTGCAGTACATTGTTAAATAAGACAAAGTCATAAGCACACATTTACTACTGTTTTAGATATTTTCAAGAGGATAATTATAACTTACTTAGATCAGGGAAAACACCTTTCAGTGTCGTCATATTTACAAATAATATTAAATATTAATGATTGAAAACAATCCACTATTTTCTCCGTTAATTTATGCGGGAACCACTCAAATTTACATCTCAACGTTAATATAAATATACACTGCTACATTAAGAAACTAAAATAATACGTAATTGAGTAATTTCTTATACACAATTTCAATTTTCTTGCGATCATCGTTACCAAATAAACAACGTTGTTTACAAACTAAACCTCATAACACAGAATCTAGCCATAGAATATTCATACCTGGGTTGCCAGGTCTAACTGTTTTATGCGTAGTATACAGGGTGGGGCAATAACTATGTCTACTTTGAATATTGCTGTTATTTGTATTAATATGAAAAAATGTTATATACAAAACTTCCGCGGTATAGAGGGGGGCATATTGCGACACAAACATTTTCTGCGTGGGTGAAGACATAGAGGAGATTTCAAGGTCATCTCTATTTTTTTTAATGGAATGCTATGTTTTTTTTATTGCGATGTGATAGCCGGTGTTGAGACGACTTCAGCGAGCTATCATTGAAGGTCATGCAAGGTCAACTGTGATAGTAAAGGTATTTCTTACATTTCAGGAGATGCTCGAAGTGGTGACCGTTTGCGTCAATGCAAAGTTGCAATCTTCGTGTCGCTGCATCAAAATTGCAACATGTGTTAGAATAAGTTCATAAACGATAAGGCATGCACGTGATGCGGCGATACGATTTTTTCATATTATTACAAATAACGGCAATATTCAAAGTAGACATAGTTATTGTCCCACCCTGTATAAGAGTGTTCCAAAAATTTAACTCCTTAAAGGGGCGATTCTTAGGGTGATTTGAAAACACTTTTTCCTTAGCGAAAATGTTCTTCGAGACTTTGTTAACAAGACATTAACAATAAATCTTGACCATTCAGTGCGCGAGTTCGCCGGCCGAGCTCCTACAATAACGTGCGTATTGGATATTGGATAGGCTCCGTAACTCTCAGAACTTCTGAGACCCAAGTCATTACTCAAAAACGAGAATTCTCTCTTATATGATGATATTCGATGATTGGTTCGTAGCGCCAGACTCGTGTACGGTGCTACCAGTAATCAATTCGTCGATGTATGTGTGCACGGGCCTTTTCTCGACCTTTTCCTTTCTTAGTAGTTCATGACAGGCTGCATTAGTAAGTTCCTCGGAGTACCCAAGAAGTAGAAATTAATACAAAAATCAAGGAATGTCAACCATGGATGACGTTCTTGAAAGTTGGGAAGAAATCGAGGAATCAGGAGTAAGTTATATTTTTTTTATACACTACAGATGTGCTATTTTAAAATGAATTTATAAAGAAATAATTCTGTTAACCTGTATCTGAAAGAACGTTTGTAAAATATTCATTTTTGCGGGCATTATAATAAGCAAAACATTTTAAAGGGACAAGATGATTTTAAACATGATATTTGTATTACAATTGTTCTTAAAGTCGCTAATTCTTACGTATAAGTGTGTAGTATGTCGTCTTGTATTCTTCTATTACATAGGTAGGTATCCATGTGACTATAGGCAATAGTCGTAATAAGAAAATACATTGCTTACCATAAGGTTACCTTTCTATTGCAACTAAAATATTTCTAATCATAGAACATTGTTATTGTATTTTTTTACTCAAAATACCATTGTAATTGTTTGATTGTATTATAAAAGTTTATACTCTTAGACATTGTGTTTCTTAAAAGAATTGAATTTTTTAATTTGTACATAAATTAATATAATTTTATTGAGAAATAATATCACAAGCTTCTTAAGAAAACTATATTACCAATTGTTAATAAATTTATAAGCTAATAAAAAATTATGTTTCAAAGTAACATACATGCAATATGGTATGGTAATATATTGTGATAATGTAATATTAGAACTACAACTGATTTTAGGCTCTCGACAAAAAGTTGGATGCCCTCCAGTTAAATGCAGTAGAAGCATTAGATGAAATAGAATCTTCTAGGTAGGTTTACAGAGGTGAATATTATAATGATTTGTGAAACGTTTAAAAACATATGTGCGACAAATCTAAATAAATTGTAAATATAACATTCTTGTGTTGCGAAATAAATATATTTAACAATATAAGGGTAGTGAAAAATCTTTTAATTTAAAATTGAAGTTATATTACCTATACTAAAATGTAATGTTAATCATTAAAATTTATATCCTAATATAAATATAATGTACATACTAATAATTCATAAATCTGTAATTACAGTAAACATAAATGTAGTTTCTTTAGTTATTATGGTCACTGTATTGTAACATGCTTTGGTTATAGTATCATATAATGTTCTAGCTTCAAAACCAATCACAGTACAAATACAAGAATGATAATACTAGGTGAAGATGGTATGAGATCTCAATATGTACCACCAAAACCAACAGTAAAAATATTAAAAAGACCAACAAGAGATTCACAGGGTAGTGGTGATGGTCCATTAGTAAATGGAGATAAACCAAAACATCCTATTAAAACATTAAAACAGGTAAACTTTTATATCGTAACGTACTATCGGCCGGTCGTCTAAAATTAGATATTTCCGACTCCCGGACGGTTCGTCTGAAGTGAAATTTTCGTAAAAATGGACGCGACATTAACTTTCTAAACCAGGGTTTTCCAAACTGTGTTCCGTGACGATTTGGAAAGGTTTTATCATAGTCATAAAGGTTAGATCAAAGTCATTAAGTGTTTTATTTATTCATATTTTTATGTTTATATTATATTATAGTTTTATATTTAAAAATAATTATTAAATAAATAATGTGTTGAATTAAACTTTTTTTAATTTTTACTAGTAGGAATTACCCAACCTAAAAAATAAGCTAAGTGTTCCGTTAAAATTTCCAGGTTTGTGAAGTGTTCCATTGCAGAAAAAGTTTGGGAAACCCTGCCCTAAACTTTATGAAAGATATTTCATTTTATACCGACTTATAAATATATCATAATACTTTAGTAACATTTATCGCCGACCGTGGGCAGCAGCCTGCGCAGAAAGTTGCCGGTCGGTAGTGTGTTAAAATGAAAAGTATAGAAAAAAGATATGTAATGAATAATATTTGTAGAGGGAACAAGAATATGCAGAAGCAAGGAAAAGAATTCTAGGCGAAGAAAAAAGTCCCGAGGAGAAAGTAGAACAGGAAATAAATAGAATACAACCAAAGGCAATAACTCCGAGCGGTAGCGGTCTACCCAGTAATGTTGTTCGCATGCCTATTGGACCAGACGGAACACGAGGGTTTAATGTACGCAGGTAGCGCGTCTTCCAAGGATCGACTTTTTCCACCTATCTTTTTCCTCCTCTTCCTTCTTGTTGGCATGAGGAAGAGAGGCGGCTATGAGGCTGATGGCAGACAACAGCGTGCTGTTTCTGTCAAAATGCAAGCGCTATGCTCCTGTCATTTTGACAGGAGCATAGTAAGAGCTATGCCCTCCAGGCACTGCTTCACATAGACCATACTCACAAAAGGATCAAGACTACAAATCGGCAAAGATGAGTTACTATAGAAATGGTAATATTTGTTACCAACATAATGCTATGTTTTGTTGATGTTTGTCATATTTTAAACAATTTTGATTAAAAAAAAAAATTGAAATCTACAATCGTCATATGGGGAACATGTTAAGATGAAATACTTGACTTACAATATGATATGAAGTGAGAAACTATTTTACGTTTTACACTTGTATCTACTATTCAAGTCTTTAAAACAAATTGTACAATAAAAAGATTTGTCTTATATCAGTCTGTTATGTATTTCAATAATTAATATATCTTATTAATTTGACTTTTCTGTTTTATTTAAACGAAAAGCTTATTAAAACAATATTATACTATTGTAAACGTGTAGCCGTTTCATTTTTTAAATTAATATACGGGATGGACCACAGAACTTTAGTTTTTTTTTTTGTTAAGAACTTATAGTAAAACATTTTTTTACTGCTTTATGACACAATGAGGTGATTTATGTGATATACGGAATACCGTTGTCGTGACTAAGTAAGAGGTAATGACGAAAATATTTTTCATTGGGAGAATGTTAAAGTGGAAACTTATCAAGACTATTGTGCTTTGACTTGGAAATTATTTTATTAATGATTCAGAACGTGGTGCATTTACTTACGGTCATATATTAAACTCTTTATCAATGTTAAGGACATTTGTCCTTATTAATGAACTTATTTTATTGCAACTATGTACTATGAATTTTTCCCTTCTCTTCTTTTGTCATACTGACAGCAGTTGTCAGTTAGTACTTTGCATGCCTCTATTTATAATTTTACAATACAAATTGATTGCATTTTGTCTAGGTAATGTAATAGAATCTAAGTAAAAATAGGACACTTTGTTAAATTTCATTTTTGCCTTAAGGTTTTTCAAATAAAAAATACTTTTCATTTCTCTTCAGCTATGTAAAAGATGAAAAAATATTTTAAATAAACATTTTTGTCAAAGAAATTATTAAATGTATGTACTGCTTTATACAAAAATTGGAGACGTGCGATCATCGCCTACCAAATGAACACGAGAACAATGCACTTATCCCACCCTTGTTCATACAACTTTGGATCCTCTGCATTTATACTTCGATATTCCCACCATTACCAAAAACTCCTGAAGTAAAATCCATCAACCACGGTCAGGCGATGATCGATTGCCGAATGCAACAAATTAAGCGATCAAAATATTATTCAGCAATAAAAAATGAAACTTTTACATTTTTAATTTTATGAAAAAAATCGCGTTTTTAATGTATTAATGAAATTTCCTGTTGAAAATACTGATAAACATAACATCATTCAAACTAAATAAAATTTTTATATTACATTGGTGCATTGCCAGAACAAAAAAGTCAACACCCCCTACTGGTCTCTCAAAGGAAGTTATGGAAAACAATATTCCTATTTATAGCATAATTTGTTATGATCTAGATCACAGTGTCAACTACGTGTATGATGTTTTGTTAGTAGTGAACACGTCTGAATTTCAAAATTACAATCTATAAAAATTTCTTTGACATTATTTATAATTCAACACAGTTTCGATCTGTTACAATTCAAAAGATAAAAACGTATCTAACCGCAGCAATAGATGGAAGAAAGTATACATTAATAATTAAGCTCGTGTAAAAATGATATTACCGTGAGTAGTTTATTTCAATGTCGTTATTATAAACCCAGCCCAGATAGCACATGACGCCTTAAAGACGCCTATTTTACGGCTATTTTAGGTCTAAGGCGTCTTCAAGGCACCATGTACTATCTGGGAGTTTTCTTGTATATGAATAGTTATAGGTATTCAGCTTTTTGAAAAATACTCAACTGTGTAATATGTCAGTCTGCGGATATACTCAAAAGTATAATTCTATAGAATAAAGTAATGAAAGAATTACGAATGACAAATTCGTTTTAATTTTAAATGTATTGTGTACATCTTTTTACAAATATACATATCGTTCTTATACATTCATTGTATATATTCTGCATGTTTCTTTATTTATGTTTATGTGTTCTGAATTGAATGTTTCATAAACTGGACTTAAATTCCATAAACAGTTTTTGAATTCGAATGACAATAAAGTGGTTTTAAGATTTTTCGCGCTGCTTTCCACACCACGGAACATTGTAGTATAGACTGTTTTTCGTAGTGTTTTTTGTGAAGCAGGAGTGAGATGGACGATAATTTTGATCAGTGGTTTACTGGTTTGCTACCTGTAATTCTGAAAGAAAAACTATAATGCAGTAATTTTATAGAATTTAATTCTGTTCATACACAGAATATAATAAAACGTTTCGAATCAGAGCGAGGAAGACCGTAGAGTTGAAGCAGCCGAAAGTGGGATTCTGAGGCATGCTTCATTGTCTATTTGGGCATACGAATAAATTGCATAAAGTTAAACAAGTCAAATGAATTTACAAATAAAATGACAAGTATACATAAGTATGTTAATATCTTCGACTGGGTTGATTATTTGAAACCATTTATATTAGGTAAAATATATTTCTCGTATGATCACAGATAGAGAAGATATTTAGGTGGTCTGTTTTAAGCGGAACACCATGTATATCAGTGGATTTCTAACGTCAAAGTTTCTAGTTTCTAACTCGAGTTTCGTATCTGTATGAATACTTATGTTAGTGTCAGGCAAAACAGCTTGATCGGTTGGTAAGCATGAAAAGAACATGGTGGATTTTAAGCGCATGTCAAACCGAGCGCTATTGTTAGTTCGAGTGCTCGCAAAGAAAGATATTTTTACTCGTTTAAAATGAAAGAAATAAATTAATACGGAAAATAAACAATACGCCATATGTAAATTTTACCTAACATACACTGTGAAAATATGGCAGAATCTATTGGACCAATACTTCATGTGATTGTCGTCGGATTTCATCACAAAAAAGGATGTCAAGTAAGCCGCTGTCACTATTTTGTCATTTTTCAATAAACAGCGCTATCGGTTTTTCTTTACCAACTCAAGTATTTCTCTTATTATATGTTTCTCGTGACAAACTCTTTCATTGCCAATATTCCAAGTTATCATAATGGAACATTACATCTTTCTATATTTTACTAATTAATAATTTCAGTTGACAAATGAATATATAAATATCATCTGTAACATCTTTGAAAAATTGCATTGTGTAAATTGTGTAAACCCAATAATAGTACATTTTCTTGTTGAAATGTGTTTCACAAAGTATATTTTTTACCTGAGTAAAGGTATTGATTAAAAATATTGTATCATAGGTACATTAATAATGCATCTTACATATTTTGTATCAAACAGTAACTTTATATTTATGATTTTTTAATAGGTAGAATATTCATTTCCTCCTTTGGTGCCCGGAGCTCCAAATGAATGTCCACTAGGTTGGAAATATTTGCCAACTCTCGCTTTACCAGATGGATCTCACAATTATGATGAAGATACAGTCTACTTTCATTTACCGAGTTTAAATGATGCAAAACGTACAATATATGGTATTTCATGCTTCAGGCAAATCCCAGTTGAGGTAATGAGAATTTTAATGATCACCATTTCAGTATTGGTTTCGTTTATCTGAACTTATTTCATAATACGATTCTGATAAAATAAAGAAATAATTGTGTTTACAATTTTAGTCAATATAGGTACTGAGTACTAAAATTGTTAAAAAATTTAAGAAAACAACGCATACTGTTATTTTGCATAGCTTCCTTGCCAGTTCCTTAGTAATATCTTTGCCTTTGTTATGTTGAATGAAAAACATAGTAATATAACCCAATAAGTTCTAAATCAATATCTCTATTAACCCTTTGTACTCGACTGTTGCTTCTGAAGCAACAAAATGTATGGAAAATTAGAAATTCCGAGTGCAAAGGGTTAATAAGAAAAGAGTATAACCAAAATCAGTTGTTTTGTTAAATTACTTCGACCACAGGTCTGTTAAACGTAATATGAAGTCTTCATAATTATACCTAAAATTCGTGAAGAACATATGCTCGCATTGAATTTTCTAGCTATAACTATGCAGAGCTTAAATTAGTCCTTGTTTTGTAGCTATATATTATTGTTACAAAGTTCTGTGCTACAAGAAATACTGTATATTATAAAAGAAACAATGTTGAGCACTTACTTTCAAGGTGCATGAGATCTTACATACTTTTGTTAAAATAATGGTGATGTTTACATAATGTTCTTTTATTTAGTGTTTCAAGTTCAATTGTATATTCGCTTCAGAATAATGTAAAAATATTGATATTGAAATTCGTAATGCACCAATTGGAACAACAAGTTGGATGATAAGAAAGAAAAGTGAAACTTTCTCACAGATAATGAAGATACAATTTTTGCATGCTAACTAGTAACACTGAATAAGGACTGGAACATCCAGCTTATGTTCCAACTCATCCAAATTAATTTTAATCTGTTCTTGGCAAAATTTACTGTTATATTTTTTACGATAATTCCATTAAAAACATCACAGTAGAAATATAGAAAATGACAATGTGGTATCTTGTAATTTACTGAATAGTAGAACTTTTTGTACCCAGAAAAGAATTTGACATATATCCCACGGACAGGATATAGCTTTGTGGGGTACTTTTTGAGGATTCACAATCAGTCAAAACCATTAGTTATTCTTATTACATAACGTAGACATTATAATGAGTAATTTAATAAAACCATTACAAAGATAATTCTTATTATTTTTCATACAGATCATTTAATAATATAAATTAACAGATAATTCATGAACATATTAATCAAAATTACAATAAAAGGAATTCGCTACTGAATCAGTTAAGTTAACCTTTTCTTTTCTTAAGTAAAATTTTAATAACATTATCTTTGTAATGGTTTTCGAAATAAAATCCGTATATGGGATTACATTATTTTAATAAGACATGCAAGGCTTCATTCTCCTTATAAGTATTGTACTGTAGTAACTGATATTATTAAATTTAGAATCATAATTAATTGTCATATTTATTTACAAAGTAATTAAAAATATCAGTAATAATGAATTTTCAGAAATTGAAAAACCGCACTTCTGATATAACACGAGGAACTGTTCAAAAATCTGTATGTGTATTAAGCACGTTACCGTTGTATGGTCACATTCAAGTTAAAATGGCATTGATAACACACGCATACTTCGAAGAGGGTGACTTCAGTAAAGTATCGTTACTGGAAGATACTTATCATCATCTTAACTCTTGTATGAGCAGTGAAAGTCAAATACCACCTCAAGTCTTTGTTGGTAATTATAAAATAGTGTTCTTTGATATTAATATTTAAAGAGCAAGATACAAATATACATTTTGCGTCGTCCAATATTAATATTTGCAGGTTTATCAGCAAGGGACTTCATTTTGCAATTCCGTCATAAAGTTCTTTTGTTATTTAAACTACTTTTATTAGAAAAAAAAATAGTTTTTTACCAATCACCAGTACAACCATTATGTGCAGCAATATTAACGCTACTTTCGCTATTTCCTGGAATGATTGAACATGGTTTACAACAAGCTGCATATGTTAGGTAATATATACACGATTGAACAGTAAAGTAGGGATTTCTTCTTTAATTACACTTTTTAATGGAATTTATTTTTTTTTTATCAGACCGTCTAGGCCAATGTCTCCTATACCTACATTTGACGAAGAAGAAGTATCAGTAAATAGTATTGATAACAATGTATTGTCTATAAATTCTGATAAAGATACAGACCCAGTGAAAGAACATGTTAACGGTAATTCCAATAAACATTCATTGTGTATAAATGATAATAAAGCTGTCGAAACCATGGAAGGTAAATGCATGGATGACTTTAGTAACTTGAGCATACAGAAAAATAACAATGAAAATGAAAATTTAAATATGAAAGTTATCGAGGTCGAATCGGCACAAGAATGTACTGAATCATATGCGGAGGAGAATAATTCTATGTATCCTGGCAAACCAAATGATTTTGTACACAGAGTACAAAGTGTAAATACAATTACATTAGGTACAACAGATACAGATAATACTTTGCCACGTGACACAAGTAACGATGCACTTTCAGATGCGCGTTTAACAAATAATATTACACAGATTGCTCATATAAATCCAGAACTTTGCGGTATGCCTTTAAGTCTGTTTACAAAGGTACGAAAATGTGGTGGATAATTATACTATTGTTCACATACATGACGTAAATAAGATATTGTTAATAATTCGTGTATTTTTTTAAGGGTTATCTATGTCTACCATATCTATCGTTACCATATCTAGATCTTTTGGCAGATGTTAATGTTAGAGGATATATAGTGGGAGTGACAAATGTTTTATTTAAGCAAAAAAAACAACTTATCGATGTATTGGTAGAGGTATGTTTGAATGAAAAGTCCAGCGTTTAATTAATAAGCGAAATACAGTGGATCCATATTTTTATTATGTACATAGGTTGAAAATACACGAATAGAAACAACTGATCCAGAATTAAGGCGACAGCTGCATCTTACAACGGAGGATCTAAGATTTGCTGATTATATAGTTCGACACGTAGCTGAACCTCGTAAAGATATTTTCTTGGATGGTGTAGGATGGGAAGGTGGAGACGAATGGATCAGAACTCAATTTCGTGTCTATCTATTGAGTATGTTGCGAACATCCATGCAACAAGATACTCGTCAATCTGATCATTACAACTCTGCATTTATTGCCGCTTGGCGTACTACAAATAACTACAAAGCGTGGAGTAATTCCAATAAACCAGAAATCGATAATGTAGAACATGGTCATCCATTTGCGGGGCAATTATCAGTACAAGATATGAAATTACGATTATCACAGTGAGTAGCAATTCATGATTCATTCTACAATGAAATATGACTATTATCAAAATAATAAAACAGTAAATCTGTAAAAATATGTAGGTAAGTGGTATTGTTATTTATTGAGGTGGAAAATATGTGGTATATTATTGAAATAAGTTAAACACGTTATTTACAATTAATTAGGCGGTGCACTTTCACAAGCTAAAGGAGCTTTTTCTAATTGGTGGAGTACATTGACTACTGTTCAACCAGTTGAGGAAGGAAAAGCCGACAATCAAACTTCAAATATACATCAAACACTTACAAATATAACCAATAAAACTACTATAAAGGACGAAGAAATGAACGTATCTACTAATAACACAAATTTAGAAGTTGTTCTAGATTAATACAAGGAACAACAAAAGGTTTTAATCACTTAGTACAGTGACTAGAGAAAATTTTTTAAGATATGTAAAAGAGTGATACTATACCTACCATAATAATAAATAGACATGGTAGAGTAAGGATAATTTATTCAAACTATGTAAGATGTTGATGTATAAACCATGGAAGTGAAATACATCTGAAAAATAGTTCAGGTAAGAAAATAAGAAATAATTGCAAACTGAATAGTATACTTAAAATAGAGCTTGAACAATTTAATATATTAATGTGATAGCATGAAAAAGAAATGATATAAACTCTAGTAATATTTCATATTAATAATTTATATGTAATATGTTCTGATTAATTTTTGTTATTGATTTCTGGCTCTGCCCTACTTTCAAAAGTTGAAAAATATGTTTTCTTTAAATAAACACATTGTTACTAATTAAATATAATTACTTTTTAATATACAGGGTATTCCACTTAAAAGAGGCCACCTAAATATTTTCTCTATCTGTGATCATACGAGAAATATTTTTCACGTAATTTATATGATTTCAAGAGACGAATCAGATGATGGAAAAAATTATTTAAGTGAATTTACAATGTTTAGAGTAAATTTAAAATGCTTAGAGTTCAAGGTCATTTCAAAATCATACTATTATACATGGATAACGCATAAAAAGCATGGGTGACCTTAAAAAAACCATTAAACAATTACACTAGTAAAACATTTTTGCCGCCATCCGATTCATCTCATGAAACCATGTAAATTACGTGAAAAATACTTCTTGTATGTTCATAGATAGAGAAGATATTCAGGTGGCCTGTTGTAAGTGGAACACCCTGTATACTGGGTGTCCTATAATGTATGGGACCCATTTTAAGGATTAATTCAGCACATCAAACATTTAAAAAAGTTTATATAAACATATGTTCTACTGAGCTTTGTTTCCGAGTTATAGAGTTTCGTTTTGTAATAATTCTTCTGAACAGTGAAACTAGTACAACTCTTTCCGCTCAACTGTTTACAAATAATGTTTAATCTTTCACAATGAATTTTACAAAATGAAATTATCCAATTAAGTCCATTGGACGGGTATTTCTGAGGACATTTCAAAACACAGAATTAAGCAAGGTATCCAACAAATTCAAGTAACATCTGGAAGTACTGAAAAAGTAGTCAGATTAATAAGATGTCTACAGGCATGTGTTGAAATGCAAGATCGTCATTTTGAGCATCTCCTGTGACGGTAATCAGATTTTATAACTCGTAAGTAGAACTTATGTTTATGTGCACTGTTTTGATTAATTTAAAAATTAGTTAAAGGTGATTCCCACGTGTTATAGGATTCTCTGCGTACCTATTATGTGTTTATTTACATAAAAACATACTCTACTACAAAGTACCTGTATATTTATTGTTTGTATATTGACATAAGAATAATTATATCAATTTAAACAATATATATAATAATTTGAAAAGTTTCTCTAAAGTACTATAATCCATCATTATTATAATGAATTAATTTTAAATTGTAAGAATATGCAATTCCTGTCTAATATGATTTGCACATTATACTTCAACACATTGTTTGTGAAGTATTATCTCTTACAGACAGCAACAAAGTTTCTAAACATTAGCTTGTGGCCTATACTGTTAAACTGTTTCATTCAGTCTTCTAACAATCGACGTAAATATAGATGACATGCTCATGTTCCAATTGTAATAAATTATATTTATACAATTGACAGTTTTTGTAACTAATCAAATTCCTCCAACATTATTGTTCTGAAGGATTCTATCACGTACACTATCTTTCCATGTGTTGTCAAGTCCATTAGATATTCATATTATTCAAGGAACTTTTCTAAAGTATTCCTCTTTTTAAACAAGTTGTAGATCCCAGTCAAGTCACACTGATGTCTTCTCGTAATCAATGAATACAAAGCTATCATTCCAGTGAGAAATGTGTTACCATACCATGGTTATCCACTTTCTTCTTGCTTTTAGCTTCATCATCATATTATGGCAATTATTCTTCATCATCGACTATGAATTCTGATACCTGAGAGAATAATGTACTGTTGTCAATTTTACTTCCAGTTCTAGTGCCAATCGAGGCCCATTATGTAACGATTTTACTTATTGTAAGGGTTTGGTTCTTAGTGAGTAGCTTCTAAATATAGTAATATAATTCTGTTGATTGTGAAAAAGCTAGATCGATTGGTGCAAAAGATATTATAGGTTACAAGCTTCAAAGACTATTAGCCTGGGTATGCGATAATACTAACAGTTATTACAGGATGTTTTTTTCATTCATGATGTGAATGCTTATTATTTTCTACCTTAGATTTTAATGCAAATCAATAGATCTCTGAGACAAAAATCTGTGTCTCTCTATTCATGTTGTTTTAACACTTTGAAATTTATGATTTCAATCCGACAATATTATTCCATCATTTTAGAACATATTATTTTATTATCTCATTATGCTCTAGAAGTCAAAACATATTACAAATATATTATTGTACGAGTTTCTTCTTAGAAGGAAATATTTAAAGCAACCTAAGGCAATTTTATAACTTTAAAAGAAAAATGATTGTAATTTGTTATTTGTAATTTATTGTAAACTTAGATTCTGTACTTCAAATACGATATTTATAATATGATAGAGTAGTAAATGTTAATAGACAGTCAACAATATTCAGTAACATATGTGTTTGATTCAAGTAGGAAATGCATTTTCAAATTATGTTTCTTTTTCTCCTTGGCCGTTCAAGTACCAAATTAACAATTTTCTTACAAACAATTACAGGTTTATGCCTTAAATTTAAAAAAATGGACTGTCATCGATGTGATATAGTTTTTACAATGCAATCAAAATGCATTACCTACTAATAGATTTTATTCAAGAGTAAAAGTTTATTATACGACGTAATAATACAAAATATTTAAATAATTAAGAATTGTATGTAGTGATCACATTAATTTATTTCAAAACGTAAATGAATTAATTAATAATTGTGATATTTTATGTGTAATTATCCATGTTACAAGAGAAACTATGAAGACAAGTAGAGGTTTATGAGTATTTTTATTTGAATATGTATACCAAATAAGTTGACACAGATCTTTTAATTTATAATGATATTGAAAATAAATTTATACAGGTTTTCGTATTATAAGAAATTTATTAATAGTCTTAGAAACATTAATGCTTTATATTATAAAATTGTGTATACTAGTCATTGAATACTTTATAATATTATTGTATACTTTGAATATATCATCCCAAATTTTCTTCACAAATGAAGTAATATGTGATACCAAATTATATAAAGGTATTAAAAGTCTGTAGCATGAAATTTAATTCTCATTATTATCAAAGTATAAAACAGGATTACACAGGTGTTACTATATTTTTTATTTATTAGAAATTCTGTTTGCATCTATCTTTAATTTTCTTTAAATGTTATAGAACTTGTTACGTTTGCTGTCTTCCTATATTACTTTTTCCGACAATGTGGTCTATTATTTATTAACATCGTTGTTACTTTCATACATGAAAAATGTAATTGTTATTTAAAATTAGTTGATAGCACAATTTACAGGATATGTATACATATTCAGTATTACAGTAAACCGTATTAAGGTTTACTAAAACTTGTATACATTAAATAACATACTTTATTTGTAATTTATCACACTTTATAACAAATCATAATTACATTTGTTATAATTTATTTAAATGAAAAAAAATATGCGTTCAAGTATAATTTTGAAACATTATTTACGTTAATAAAATAGAAACAAATGATTCATAATAATAAATGGCACTATTTCAAGAACAATATTTATCTCATTAATTACGAACATTATTTCAGTAATTATACCGTACTTATATGTAATTAACATAAAAGTGTTTATACATTGAAATAAAATATTAAAAATTGAATACACTAGAATTATGTAAAAACTTACCAGCGATGATAAATTATATTAATAAAAAATTTTTGTGTACTGATTCTATTGTTTTATTCAACTGTATTGTTTTATGTATGCTATGGAGTACAGATTTTATATATACTTTTATAATAATAGTTGTAAAATTACATCTACATTTAACAAAATTTAAAGAATTAATTGTGAGGTAAGAATTATTTTTCATAAATTGACATATATTCAGCAGAATAATATCAGTTTGACTAATTAATGATTAATCAATCAGCAATAGTTAAGATGTTTTTTGTGATTTGGGAATTCAGATGTTTTTTGTACACCACAATTACGAAATAATTAAGACCGGAAATAATTGCTAAATTATTACGGGGAAAATATTATATATAAATTACGAAGCTATCGTTTAATTGCAATTCAAACGTATTTTATTTATTAATTTATTTAACTTATAAAATTCAATTTATAAGTATAAAGCATTCACAACATATTCCGTAAATGATATTATTGTGTAAAAAACGTAACTAAAACGATAATTGTATTGTTTTGAAATTAAACTAATTATTATATCAGAGTCGTAATTATTTTAACAATAAAAGTCAGTCGGAACTGAAAATGTTTAAGTACAGTTTTATTCATGAATTTTATGTATATATAATTAATCATGTATAAATTTCAATCTGACGTAATTTTGAGAATAGTAGTTTAGAAATAATATGGCTGATCAAATCATTCATTATACTCTATATTTGTTCATTCACCTATTTGATGATCACTGTTTGATAGAACATCAATATGAAATATTCACAGTAAATAGAATAAATACCCTAATACATAAAGGAGTATAATCTTTAGAATATAATTTTTACTCTTTCACTTAACAAGATTCTCTATAGACACAGAGAATATAATTATTTACAAAAGATACATGTAGACCAGACAATTAAGTTAAATATTTTAGAATTTTCAGTCATACAGAGTTAAATATGCATTTGCAAAGTATAAAATACAAATCAGTGGTTTCTTACAAATTTTCTATAATTTAACACGTATGATTTA